GACATAGTTGTTCTTCCAACATTAGTTTTCGACATTGGTGCTACAGTTGTGGATGTTGGAGGGTTGCTTGTGGATGCCAAGTTGTTGTTGTTGTGTCAGAAGTTGTTTGTTCCAACATTAGTTTTCGACATTGGTGCTACAGTTGTGGATGTTGGAGGGTTGCTTGTGGATGCCAAAGTTGTTGTTGTTGTTTCACAACAATTGTTGTTGTGTCAGACATTGTTGTTTCCATTAGTTTTCGACATTGGTGCTACAGTTGTGGATGTTGGAGGGTTGCTTGTGGATGCCAAGTTGTTGTTGTTGTGTCAGACATTGTTGTTCTTCCAACATTAGTTTTCGACATTGGTGCTACAGTTGTGGATGTTGGAGGGTTGCTTGTGGATGCCAAGTTGTTGATGTGTTTCACATAATTGTTGTTGTGTCAGACATAGTTGTTCTTCCAACATTAGTTTTCGACATTGGTGCTACAGTTGTGGATGTTGGAGGGTTGCTTGTGGATGCAAAGTTGTTGTTGTTGTTTCACCAACAATTGTTGTGTGTCAGACATTGTTGTTCTTCAACATTAGTTTTCGACATTGGTGCTACAGTTGTGGATGTTGGAGGGTTGCTTGTGGATGCCAAAGTTGTTGTTGTTGTGTCAGACATTGTTGTTCTTCCAACATTAGTTTTCGACATTGGTGCTACAGTTGTGGATGTTGGAGGGTTGCTTGTGGATGCCAAAGTTGTTGTTGTTGTGTCAGACATTTGTTGTCTTCCAACATTAGTTTTCGACATTGGTGCTACAGTTGTGGATGTTGGAGGGTTGCTTGTGGATGCCAAAGTTGTTGTTGTTGTTTCACCCATTGTTGTTGTGTAGACATTGTTGTTCTTCCAACATTAGTTTTCGACATTGGTGCTACAGTTGTGGATGTTGGAGGGTTGCTTGTGGATGCCAAAGTTGTTGTTGTTGTGTCAGACATTTTTGTTCTTCAACATTAGTTTTCGACATTGGTGCTACAGTTGTGGATGTTGGAGGGTTGCTTGTGGATGCCAAAGTTGTTGTTGTTGTTTCACCAACATTGTTGTTGTGTCAGACATAGTTGTTCTCCAACATTAGTTTTCGACATTGGTGCTACAGTTGTGGATGTTGGAGGGTTGCTTGTGGATGCCAAAGTTGTTGTTGTTGTTACCAAAATTGTTGTTGTGTCAGACATTGTTGTTCTTCCAACATTAGTTTTCGACATTGGTGCTACAGTTGTGGATGTTGGAGGGTTGCTTGTGGATGCAAAGTTGTTGATGTTGTTTCACAACAATTGTTGTTGTGTCAGACATAGTTGTTTTCCAACATTAGTTTTCGACATTGGTGCTACAGTTGTGGATGTTGGAGGGTTGCTTGTGGATGCCAAAGTTGTTGTTGTTGTGTCAGACATAGTTGTTCTTCCAACATTAGTTTTCGACATTGGTGCTACAGTTGTGGATGTTGGAGGGTTGCTTGTGGATGCAAAGTTGTTGATGTTGTTTCACCAACAATTGTTGTTGTGTCAGACATAGTTGTTCTTCCAACATTAGTTTTCGACATTGGTGCTACAGTTGTGGATGTTGGAGGGTTGCTTGTGGATGCCAAAGTTGTTGTTGTTGTGTCAGACATAGTTTGTTCTTCCAACATTAGTTTTCGACATTGGTGCTACAGTTGTGGATGTTGGAGGGTTGCTTGTGGATGCCAAAGTTGTTGATGTTGTTTCACCAACAATTGTTGTTGTGTCAGACATTGTTGTTCTTCCAACATTAGTTTTCGACATTGGTGCTACAGTTGTGGATGTTGGAGGGTTGCTTGTGGATGCCAAAGTTGTTGTTGTTGTTCACAACAATTGTTGTTGTGTCAGACTTGTTGTTCTTCCAACATTAGTTTTCGACATTGGTGCTACAGTTGTGGATGTTGGAGGGTTGCTTGTGGATGCCAAAGTTGTTGTTGTTGTGTCAGACATTGTTGTTCTTCCACATTAGTTTTCGACATTGGTGCTACAGTTGTGGATGTTGGAGGGTTGCTTGTGGATGCAAAGTTGTTGTTGTTGTGTCAGACATTTTTGTTCTTCCAACATTAGTTTTCGACATTGGTGCTACAGTTGTGGATGTTGGAGGGTTGCTTGTGGATGCCAAAGTTGTTGTTGTTGTGTCAGACATAGTTGTTCTTCAACATTAGTTTTCGACATTGGTGCTACAGTTGTGGATGTTGGAGGGTTGCTTGTGGATGCCAAAGTTGTTGTTGTTGTGTCAGACATTGTTGTTGTTCCAACATTAGTTTTCGACATTGGTGCTACAGTTGTGGATGTTGGAGGGTTGCTTGTGGATGCCAAAGTTGTTGTTGTTGTGTCAGACATTGTTGTTGTTCAACATTAGTTTTCGACATTGGGTGCTACAGTTGTGGATGTTGGAGGGTTGCTTGTGGATGCCAAAGTTGTTGTTGTTGTGTCAGACATTTTGTTCTTCCAACATTAGTTTTCGACATTGGTGCTACAGTTGTGGATGTTGGAGGGTTGCTTGTGGATGCCAAAGTTGTTGTTGTTGTGTCAGACATTGTTGTTCTTCAACATTAGTTTTCGACATTGGTGCTACAGTTGTGGATGTTGGAGGGTTGCTTGTGGATGCCAAAGTTGTTGATGTTGTTCACCAACATTTGTTGTTGTGTCAGACATTGTTGTTGTTCCAACATTAGTTTTCGACATTGGTGCTACAGTTGTGGATGTTGGAGGGTTGCTTGTGGATGCAAAGTTGTTGTTGTTGTTTCACCAACAATTGTTGTTGTGTCAGACATAGTTGTTGTTCAACATTAGTTTTCGACATTGGTGCTACAGTTGTGGATGTTGGAGGGTTGCTTGTGGATGCCAAAGTTGTTGTTGTTGTGTCAGACATTGTTCTTCCAACATTAGTTTTCGACATTGGTGCTACAGTTGTGGATGTTGGAGGGTTGCTTGTGGATGCCAAAGTTGTTGTTGTTGTTTCACCAACAATTGTTGTTGTGTCAGACATTGTTGTTCTTCCAACATTAGTTTTCGACATTGGTGCTACAGATGAGGATGTTGGAGGGTTGCTTGTGGATGCCAAAGTTGTTGTTGTTGTGTCAGACATAGTTGTTCTTCCAACATTAGTTTTCGACATTGGTGCTACAGTTGTGGATGTTGGAGGGTTGCTTGTGGATGCCAAAGTTGTTGTTGTTGTGTCAGACATTTTTGTTCTTCCAACATTAGTTTTCGACATTGGTGCTACAGATGAGGATGTTGGAGGGTTGCTTGTGGATGCCAAAGTTGTTGATGTTGTTACA